TGAATACTTCTCACGTAAATGTGAATAAACAGTGTGTGAGGCCAGACATACTGCCTCACACGCCTGTACTCATGCATTTGTGAATAAGTTACCCTTTATGTATAGAACAAAACAAATAATGTAATTTAAATACTGTGTAACATTCAGTGCCATAATATCCTGACAACGGGGGTTAATTATTATGACCCGTTGTAAACTCTACTCTGTAATCCTTTTGCGCTACCTATCACAGGATGAGTGTGGGGTGCACAATAAAGTAGCCGCTGTAAGCGGCAAAATCAAACCCTTCACTGATGCCATTATGGGTCATCCTACGCATATGGTTGATATGCCAGATGTGCAACTGTTTATAAACGTTGGTGCGAACACAGGAGTCTGGTGACGATATGACAGCTAGAAAGTTGAGTAAATTATCTTAAATGTGCTTACAGTGGTTTATTAATAAAGAAATTAAAAGTTTGGTGACAATGTCTTCCATGGGATTTTGACTATCAAATTTATGATTTCTAGTCCAGAAACTCGCCAAATTATGCTTTTCGGAAGAACTCGCTTACTAAACAGCTAAAAAGTTGAGAAAAAAATGATCTTCAGTGTGCTCACATGATTAGCAACAGCATTGGTAAGATGAAGCATCTCCAACAGCTAAATGGTCAAGCCCTTGCTGGTACTGTAGACAAGTCACAAGTCTATTGAAAACTTCATAATATAGCTAGTGAGAAAAAATGGACTGATGGTTGAAAAAACATAATTAAGTCACTTTTAAGTGACTACGTACCAGTACAGTACTATAATTATGTACCCTGCCAACCAATATCTCTAGAAAGGGGGTAAAGAATTACAATTATCTGAGGCTGGTTTCACAGAGATGTCATGACACGACGGCATCAGTCATGCACAACTTGTCAACCTCCTACATCCAGTGACTCCAAATAAACAGCTTAATAAACCTTTTACCAATGTCTATACGTATTTCAGAAAATCTTACACACAAAAAAATGAATCTTGCAAAACTATTAACAAACTCACTCAAAATTTACTCGAGTCAACAGTGCAATCCTACCTCATACACCACAACTAATATACCAGGGGTAAAAATTCACATACGCCCAGCTGCCCGAGGCGACCAAAATAACAGAAGGGTGAGCAGACCTTAGAAATTTACTGGTTTTTAATCGCCCAGCAAACGACAAGCATGTCAGACTGGCAATGTCTAGGAGCTATCCAGTAGTTTTGAAAAAAAAAAAATATTTATAGCAGTCTATTTTACCATAAGGATGTGCTTAGTGCCCAGTTTATATAAAACATTGCAAGAACAGGTTGAGATACATTCAAGAGCTAGTGCATGCCCAGTACCTCCCAACAGTGCGTAACAAAGACGTGACCAACCGCTCAAGTGCAGATCAGTGGTGAAGAGGATACAAGAAAAAGATAGAAAAAGAAGGTTGGATTGCCCGGACTGTATAACCTGAGACGACACACCACCCACAATCATTCCAATAACTAGTAATAAAAATAAAACGGGTATTTAGCTGGAGAAATAAACTTTTGACTTTAATTATTATTATTACTATTATTAATTTACGCTTGGAGCATTTCTATTTAATGCTAACTTTCCTCTTTCATCACGTGGGTAACATCCGGTGTAAATAATTGCCACATTACACCAGACGAATATCGTTACCACAAGTTAAAATCAATTTATAATTTAGATTCAAATAATTCAATATAACAGAATTTATATGATGTTTATTATAATATAAATCAATAATATGATCAACTATTAAATAAGCAGGAACACATTTTTTTAGTAAAATGGTGACCTCCAGCAGTTTTCATCGATCCCACTACTGGGCTCGAGCGAGCGGAGACCATGATTCAGTAAGTTTCCTGACTTCCAAGGAGTGTGAATATTCACCTCCACCATATAACACAAATAACGAGTTTGTGGCAGTGGCTGGCTATACTGTGACAAACATAAGATCTCCAGTGCACAAGTTTCCTCATGTCACTGTTTACAGAAAAGAAACCTGTTGCGTTTGTGACACGAGTGGAGACCTTCAGTGCATGTCATAGGCTCCACAGGTGAGGCTTAGAACGCACGCACCACAACTCGCATCTCAGATCTGGTGTCTGATATTACGTCACTAAAACCGTGCTTCACTAACTACGAAAACGTACTATACCGGTACATAATTCTTGTATTAGCTCAAACACAACAAAAATACATACACGATTAAAAACCTCCACTCGGATTATGTCCCGATACTATTATGAAGGAATAGCAATATGCCACAAATGTTTTTTTTTTAATTTCACTCCACGTACGGGTGGCGCCAACCTTAGCAACTGGTGCATATTAATGGATTTGAAAGTGACAGCAGCACCAGTCTCCCCAACAGAAAATGCTATATAATTATACTACCACATCGGGTTTACAAGGCAGGTTAATTATGTCCCAGAAAATACCGACAGATGCAATTCCAGTTATCACTTCTTAATATGGGAAGATCTTGTGTCGAAACTATAGACTTTCCATATCATTAAAGTGTCGTTGTTTCGCGTGCTTGAACATAAAAACTGGCACGCACAAATTTGGTTGCATTAGTCAAACCCGTGCCTGTCGTTCCAGACTGTGTGGACAGGAGTGACCAAATGACAAAACGCCAATCTAATGAACACGGTGGCCCAAAACCTAATACCAAATAAAACTAAACTAGAGGAAAAATGCTCCTCCACCTATCAGGAACATGTGGCTGTCGTGGTGTGGCTAACCGATACGGAACATCCTTGCCACCTAAAATACTAAACAATTATCCAAATACATAAACATACTTTTAAGTAATAATAAACCACACAAAAATAACATCAAACACCACAATGGCATTACACTCTACAACGATAAACACGTGGAAGCGGCCTAAGCAAAATAGTGGAGGATGCTCTTTGGATTAAACGATGAGGAAAACTATTTACTCGACGAAGACGGCCGATACTTGGTGCGCGGAGAAATGGCAACGGTGAAAAGCACGACGACTCCTTTCCGCGCGCTTCGTAAAAACGCTCTCCACTCCAGCCGCTCCGCTACGTCCCGTGTGTCGCACAAAACCCGCCCGAATTTGCCAACATTACATAAAACATGATACAATATTTAACTTAACAAACAACTGCATCAAAACCATATAAAAATATTCGACCGAGTGCTCTCACAACTATATTTTATACAGAGATCCATGATAGCAAACACTGATCCTCACTCCCAAGCAACACAAACAATAGACACCCAATTCACTTCCATAAGTACTGAGCAAACTCTTCAAAAATGCTTTCAACAAAGCTAACAATCACAAAACACAAACAAAACAAATAAACCGGATAACGCGGCTTCCTGTGGATACGGTAACCGACGCGGCCCTGGCTGTTATCGCCTTGACCTTACCCCCAAAACCAACCCCCCCCCCCTCCCAATAAAATGATCGACCGAGTTATAGGCGACGCCAACAAATCTCTAAACGGTCGGATGAGTACGTCTAAAAGTATAAAATCCTCCCATTAAATTCACCAGCCCCATTATACACTAGACGCTTTTCCACAAAACCTGTAATAAAAATACATTTTTTGCTATAAGCGCATCTCATTTTACGCAAATTAACACGTTCAAATTTAATAACGCTAAAATTAAGCTGTATATATAACACTACAATAACAAATTTAACCTTACTTTTCTCACCTAACTTCCTATGAATCTCAATATTTCTATGCACATAATATCTACAACTTGACACACATTTATATTTTTAAATTAGCCTTAAAATATCATTCCTGTAAGTCGTTTATTTACAAACACTCTTCATCACATTACCTAACTAATATAAAAATTTTCATGAATAATAAATAAAACATCAACCCAATCATTAGTTTCAAGCAAACTCTGCCATTAGTCCTCCACCTCTCCATTTTCTGCCATTAAAACAATACGCGTGCCGACAACGTGCGACGCCCCGGACGGATGGAGATAATGTGTCTGCGATGCGGCGAGCGTGAGAACGGAGTCGCTCCGTGTCGACGACAGGGGACCAAATACGCCGTTTAAAAAATGTAACCCGCAGTACGGACGCTGGATTGCTCATGTGACACTGCAACTCATATTCCCACTTTACTGATAACAGCTCAAATACACACACTACAACACGCCTCTCAAAACAACCAATCTTCACATCAAAATCATACATCATGTAAAAGACAACTTTTTACTGTTTCTTTAAGTAAAACAAACCCCGTCGACTGGGAACTGCGTTTATTCTCCACGGATAATTCTTGCCGGGAAATACTCGCCTCGGTCGTGACTTTCAAAATCACCCACCGAATCGTTCAAATTATAAACGACAATTAACAAATTGCACTTCAATAGACACTTGTTGTTCATCTCATAGTAACTCAAGCCAAATAAATAACACATGCCATGTTTAATGATATGCACAACATCCTGTGTAAAAGCAAACTTTACCACCAAACTCCAAATATTTTTGGCTTTGCAACCAATTAACAGGTGCTGCCAAATAACACCTCCGGCTGTCGTCGACTAATCATTATGGGGTAATCGAACTTATTTTTCGCTGCATTGTCAAACAAAAGTGTATTACTTCGTGACTTCACTATGTGTAAAGTGGCATTTGTCATTATAGTACAGTAATCAATGGGACAGCTGCTGGCACTCCACGGTGCCCCTACGCTTATGCCCCCGTTCCTCGCCGGTGCTGCCCGCCATAAAGGCACCTCCGCCGTAAGTGTGCCCCGTCGACTTCCGTTATTCCGTCGTGCACTAATCGACCGACGGGGACGTCGCCGTGGAGGAATTCCTAATAGTACAACTCCCACAACCAG